TCAACTTCCCAGTTTGTTTTTAATGTAAAAACAGCCACCTTTCACCAAACAAATGATTAGCAAATACGGCAGCTGATAAGTTGATGCTTTTCCGAACTTCAGCCCTTAAATCAGACAGAATAACATTGAGTTCTTCTCACCTGTGCAGCCGCAGTCGTGACTTACACATCAACCGTTAACAGTGTTTTACGGCACATGCAGGTGAAATGTTGTCATTTTAAATGTCCCTGGCTCCTTAAGGCCCACATTCATTTGGACATAATCTTGTTTCCATACACAAAAGCCATCTTCAGTTTCCACCCCTGTCAAGTGCAAATCTTTGCTTTTTTGGCTCTAGTTCATGTCCCTTTGATTTAAATAGGTCCCCAAGCTCCATGTGTGCTGATTTAGCTGTGTGTGTGGTCATCTGTCCCATCTTGGACTCCAAACTACACCTGAGCATCAGCCGATGTAACACGTAGGAGAAGCCCAATCAATAAAACGTTTGAGTTCATCCTCCTACACGTCCTGAGACAGCAGGCGTACTTTCCTCCCACTGAGCACTCGTTTTCTGAGCTCTGCTAAAGAGGGAAGCTTCATTTTGTCTTTGTTTTTACTGTAAACGTTCAGGAAGATGCCAAACACGACGAGAAGACCGCCCCACACATATCTGAAAGAGAACCAGGGTTTGTCATTGAAAAGAAAAGAAACTAATTGTCATTTCCTGGAAACTGATATATATATTATAAATAATATAACTGAAGTTTATTCAACAATGGAAACCGCTGTAACTTTTTCTCTACATAAAATTCACCTCAGAGGATGCAGATGAAACACAGTCATGCCATCTTGCATTTATAAGGAGACGTCTGATGGTTCGGTTTTTAAAAGGTCAAATGTTCTGAAAGGTAGTTTAACTAAATAATTCTGGTCAAACTTACTATAAGTATTTATTTGTTGATGTTATAGCTAACGTCTTTACTAAAATGAATTAAGAATGAACAACACTTGTACAGCCTTTATAAATCATACTTCAGCAATTAAAAACGTATTATTAAAGGTGCAGTATGCAAGTTTTACACCCAGTGGTTGAACTAGGTATTGCACACCTGGTTCAAAACAAACTCAAGCGCAGGTTGCCAAATTGATGACACCAACAGCCGTGTGCCTGACTGTCTAGCTTAAAGGCTGTTTTAAACCATGTTCTAAACAAAAGCAACAGCACTATATTTTCCATTTTAAAAGGAGTTTTTGTTCTAACTAAAGCCTGATATATTTTAGAAACAGCTACTATTTCTTGCAGATGAGCACAAACTGACAATGATCTCCTCAGCTACACCTCATGTGCTTTAATCAGTGTTAATTCTTTTAATATGAGTTTGAATGCCATTTTACATGACGTTTATTGCTATACTACTGAAGGAGATATTTCACCTCACATTTTGAAAATAAACCGTTTTAAATTAAACTTTAGAACTGTGACTCAGTGCAAGCCAGCACATATCAGTCATCCAGAACGTACATTTAATCATGATAAAGAGCTTTAATATATATTAATTAGATTATAAACCTTAACATTTTGTTGGAGTGCAGTAAGTGCACTAATCTATGCTTCTGAATGGCTGTATTTAAATGCTTCTGTCGTGTTTTGTCTGGTGCAAACAGCCAAACTTCATTGTGTATCTTGTTGTAGGGACACTAGGATACAATGTAACCTGCTGACCAAATGTAACCTACAGACTATATATATTACTTGCTAATTAATAACCACCCCACGTGAAACGGCGTCTCATTTCAGAGTCTGCTAATGTCCACCGGATGTCGTGGACACAGACTTTGAGAGCCATCCTGACTTAATAAACGAAATACGCCGGTTTCCACCAAGGCAACCCCGGGTGCTGAAATCTAGTTAGCTAAAGCATTGTTATTATTTAGCATTGTTTTTCAGATAAACATATATTTTCACTTAATGTGTTTGCAAATATTTCAGATACATGCTATGGTTTTTATATGCTTAAGAAGAGTCAAAAACGTACATACAGCACTTTTAAAATCCAAAATTACGCCTGTTAACATTAGTTAATGCACCATGAGTTTACATAAACCAACATTGAGCGACTTTACTGTCATTAACTAACAATAACAAAGATGAATAAATACACTGTTTTTTTATGTTAGTATATACATTAACTAGCATTCACTAATGGTATGTTTTTGCAAAATGTGACCATAATTTCAAAGAATAACTAATTTCAAAATGGCTTGCAGCAATTGATAGAGTTTGCATGTAGATTTCTTAATATGTTGTGGCCAATTTTTGTTAAAATCAGTTTTTTATCCAAGATATTATCTGTTTTTTATCCAAGATAATATATGTATATATATATATATATATATATATATATATATATATATATATATATATATATATATATATATATATATATATATATATATATATATATATATAATTAAAATTAGCCATACATTATCATGTTATTTTAACTTAAAATTCATGCTATTAACAATCCGTTAACAAAGACTATTCGTTTAATAAACTACTAATTAAACACTTAATTAGTAGTTAGTAAGGTAGTAACTGGTTTTAGATAATGGGTAGGATTAGGACTGTAGAATAAGATCATAATAATAAGTACTAATAAACAGCTATGATCTTAACAATAGGCAGGTAATAAGCCAATAGTTAGTGTGAATTATTACTTAAACGACAGAATTGCCTATTTTTTCTTACATTAAATATTTTTATGAGCCTTTTAAGACTGCATGCAAATCTAAGCATTCCCATCCAGCATAACAAAAATGTGCATGAAAATATGTGGATAAAAACATAGGGAATGTTAAGTGACCAAACTCAATTGATAAGTTTACCCTATGTTATTTGCTCAACATTGTTTCATTTGAAAATGCATTATGTTCATGTTGTGCTTAAAAGATATTCAGAGCCACTTACTGAAAAGTGAAAGGTTTTGAAAAGAAGAGAAAGGACAAAACAATAGTCATGGCTTTCCGTCCTGTAGTCACTAAAAAACAGAATTGAAAAACAATATACTTTATGTATTTAAATATGAATTGACCAGCTCAAACACACATAGACATGAGGGTGCTTATCTCACCTGTGACAGCAACCAGTGCTCCAAACAACTTGATTAATGCCAGCACAAATGAAATGCCAAAATAGCCCGTCAGTGAAAAGAGGAATGCGTAACCATATGTTGTCATTGGATGCTGAGTGAGAAAAACATAATGAAGATATAAGCCATTGAAACAGATCTGGAAAGAGTTCAATAATGATTGGGATCTGCATTTACAGAAAATGCACAACTAATAACTAATAAAAAAGTTAAACAATCTAAATGCTCAGACCAGTGTACAGAATGGTTAATGGCCCCATCGGGCCAGTGCTGCCTTGTCACAAAAGTTTGGCTGCAACTGTTTGTCAATTGCGTGCAATTACAATCTTAGGGTGCTTTCACACATAGAAGTTTGTTTCAGAATCGGTCTCGTTTCTCCGCAGTTAGATTGGTTTGTTTGGCATATGCAAGTCCAGCAGTTGCGCTCGAATCCACGCCAAATCAATCGGTCTGAGATTGCCTGAATGAGGTGGTCTCTACTCAATTGAGCTGATCGATTGTAGTGAGAAAACAAAACGTTCCAACGAACTAATGTACCACAGTGTCTTATGATTGTGTAATAGTCATATATAAGAGAGAATGATGAGTGGGGCGAGTGTCATTCCTACCGGCATGTCATTCCTACCGGCAAATGTGCGTTTCATGTCTAATACGAAAGTAAAAGGATGCTGAAATAATAACGAGAGCTGTTTATCCGTAAGGAAAAGTTACCATCTGATAATTTTTACACATTTTAATCTTATAATATGTTGTATTAGGCCTATTGTTTTGTTAATTTCTGTACGGACAGCTCGAAAGAAAGATCAACATTGATCTGCTTCATGATCTGATGCAGTTTCTGTTCATCTGTTATTTCTCTCAATAATTTAAGCCTATAATGCAGAATATAAATATAAATGTATATATATATATATATATATATATATATATATATATATATATATATAATATATTTTAATTTATATACAAATAAATTGTCCTATTCTGTTCCTGATGTTGTTATGCAACATCAACAGACTTCATTTACATCAGAGATGCCCAATGTAGGGCCCACGGGCCAAAGTTGGCCCATAGTAATCTTTTATTTGGCCTGCCGCCCCATCTGAGATCAGATGTAGAATGCACATAACCCTTTTTTGTTCGTTTAATTGTTGAGTTACAAAAAAGTCAACTGAAATGAAATGTTTCAATTAAATGTTGTGCATGAATCAGATTTTTAAAAATGTAAATGTCACTTAAGATAGAGAACAAAACACAAGACATCGACAAGGCAAATCAAGGCAAAGGCAGGTTCAGCTCGACTCATTGAACAACATTGTGTTCTAAATGTCTTTGTTTATGTTTTTATTGTACGAAGTTCATTATAATATGTAAAAAAAGAATAATTAATAATATAAAAAACATATTTAAAAACCATGTAATTAATTTATATGATTAAAGTATTTTTTATTTTATTTATTTTTTCAATATTAGTAAATTAGCAAATTACCATGGCAACTTCAATGTAATAGTTTGGTATATTTACCTTTATGCGTCCTAAATATGCAATGTGAAGAGAATGACTCCATAAGGTAACAGAAACTGCACACTCTTGATTATGTAATGTGTGAAGTCATGGACACGTCAACATCCTTTAAATGTCCATGCTTAATCAGTAAACGATATCAATAGGGTTATCAACAAAATGCGTATATGTTTGACTTGGAATAGCCTTCTGTTAAAGATTTTTGTGTTCATCCTTGCTGCAGACAAAAACAAAATAAAACCTCCTTTCAAATTAACTACACTTTTATTGAAACCAAATCTAAGAAGTATCGGAATCGGTACTTGGTATCGGCAAATACACAAATTAAATACTTGTACTGTTTTATAAAAAAGTGGTATCGGTTCATCCCTACTAATACAAACCAGGATGAACGGAGTCATAATGAACCTCAGTCATACCAGTGTAAAAGTGGCAAAAAGGTCCTGTATAGTTCAGGTTGTATTTAGTAATCGCATATGCCTAATTTTTCATATTAAAATAAAGATATAACGCAATTGATAAAAATAAAAATAAAAACTTTTTTTTTAAATAAGTATTCAAATTGGCAATGACATGTAAATGAACAGTTTTTAGTTGAAAACATAATCTAAAAGTTAAAGTGAGGATGAAAAAAGTCATATTTAAAAAAAAAAAAATGGTCATAAACCTACATGTTGACATGTAAAAAAAAAAAAGTCTTAAAACCCACCTGAGCGCAAAAAGACACAGCAGGTCCAAGTCCCCCTAAGGACAGCAGACCCAACAGAATATACACAAAACCAATAGAATAGGAATATAAGACCTGCAAAATATGGACACCTTTTAATACAATGTCAGTTAAATATTATTTAACAGTTAATGCTATTTTAAGACACTAGAAATACATATAATAGTTAAAGTAGTTTGTACCATCTCAGAATTGCTTCCATTATGGAGTTTCATGGCTTTTTCCTGCACATTTCCAATAGCAGCGTCCGCACAGAGAGCCAAAGATATAAGAAGAACCCCTAAAGCCAACAAACAAATCATGATGTTTTCAATCACATTCCTTGCAATTATAACAGTTAGATTAGGCATGGGCTGGTATAAAATTCTAACGGTATGATAACCTTGGACAAAATTAGCAGGGTTTCACGGTATTGTGATTATTGCTTGAAAATTTGTTCTTTATAAATGTCTGGGTAAAAAAACTAGAACTTTTTCCTCCTTTGAACACAATATATTTTAATTTGAGAAACATTGAACATATTTTGGAACAATTAACATGGCAGGCTAAATAATTCAAATGAATCATTAGCCCCATTCACACAGTGATACCGGTAAATATCCGGAAAATTTACGACTTTACCGGTTAATTCAAAAAAGCGCTGTTCACACAGGCGAGGACGTTACGGAATTTTTCCGGAAAAGAGCATTTACACATCCATTCCAAAATACAGGTAAATTCTGACATCATTAACCAGAAATGAGCTCTAAACGGCTACGCTTGTATTTGTAAACATTGGACTAAGTTACATCACAAACTCTGTGGATGGATCAGTATTGTGAACAACTTCGATGAAAACATATAGAGAAACACTTTCGCATGTCGAGATGTACATGAAATGTATGTGTGCTGGCGCTTATGGGCTGTTTCATGGGCAGGTAAACAAACAACAGCTTATCATAAGCATCTTATCGATAATTAATTACACGGTTGGCATTAAGATGAACATATAAACGTTATCTGACTAATTTCTAGCAGCTAAATGTGTCTGGAAAAATATTCAAAGGCTTTTAATCACATAAACCGCGCGGACGTGAATGCGTCTGACTGGCTAAAGCAGACGTCTCACGTTAGCACGTTCTAGACGTGCACGCGCTCTTTCCGGCAATCTTCCTTTTGCGTTCACACAGCGCATCATTCCGGCAAATTACCAGTAATGTTACAACTTCTCTTTCCGGAAAATAGCCAGAACGAATTTACCGGTATTTTCAAAAAGGGCCTGTTCACACATAGACACCTTTTCGGAAAATTGCCGGTAATCTTCCGGAAAGGTGTGTATGTGTGAAAGGGGCTATTGACTTTTGCTATAATTTATGTGTTTAAAAAAACACAACTTCTTTACAATTTAAAATGGCATGTTTTGATTTCTTTTCTGCTAGAGATACTGTTGTCCTAAAAAACTAAAAATAAAAAGAAAAATCTCACACATACCTTAGAAACGTTATTACAGACATTTTTGATGTTTTTCAAAACTTGACTTTTCCAAACCATGGTATACCTTGAAAATGGTTATCGCCCCATGCCTAAGTTAGAACTATAAAGTAGAACGTACCCGTTACATTGAAGTTAGGTGCAATCTTACTGTCTGCCAGTGTGAACCAAATCAGACCGAGACTCATGCACAGAGCAGCAGAGACATCCGCAACGTTGTAGCGTTTTCCTAAAAACACACAATATCAACAAGCTCAATCAAACCAAGGATTTCTGACACAGATCAACTGAAAAGGATCACAAAAAGCAGCATAAGCAGACATCTAATCTTCTGCTAAGCTAAGAGGCCTATCTTCTTGGACCTTTGAGTTTGACACTTTAGCTGGAGGTTGGCTTTGCAAAGATCTTTGAACAAGTTTAGCTGCAAACTGATTTGTCGTAGAGAGAATGATTTTTTTCCCTGCTGGACTCTTCCACTCATCACATCAAGCATGTGAGAGAACAAGTAGGAATTTGGACATGGGAAAAAAAAAAGCAAAGGCCATGAAAGAAAGAAACAGGATAGTCCAAAGAGTGTTCTCAAACAGGTAGTTGCCGTGGGGGTGATGGTGCTACTGCAGGTTGCAGTGCATCACTTTGATTCAGTCCAGCTTTGATGGGTCGGCATCTTGCACGCATCCACAACCAAAGTCCCGCTGATCTTACGCATCATCCTCGGGGGATGCAGGGTCCACGATGTCAGAGAAGAGAAAAGAAAGGGGAAAAGAATCAAGATATCCCGATAAAAAGACAAGGGAGAGTGTTTCAGCCGGTTTAATTCTTTTTTGTTCAGAATATAAAACCTTCAACACAATAAAAAAAAAAAAAAAAAACTCCACAACAGCAGTGGCCAATGAAGAACAAACACACACACACACACACACACCTTTGCTAAAATACGTTTTGCCAACAAATTATGGTAATTAAACAGGGAATCAAAAGGTAATGCTGAGAAAAAAATCTTAGTATAATGTGTTCAGCTCTTCTCTATACATTTCAAAGTGACTATGCCCGTTTAATAAAAGTCAATAAAGATAGGGGAAAATATGAGTTGTGTGATATATCAAGCTATTTAGTTAGTTTTATGATATTTTTGTGTCTTTGAAGTAAATTTCCACTGATCATTTCTCATCAAACACTTTTAATGGCGTATTTCATGTAGTCTGGGTCAGCTTTTCTGGTGCGCAACAAGGTACAGATGACAATGTTTACACTCATTTACATACCCCAACAAAGCTTATTTTAATCCGAACAAACCTGACAAGTATGAACACACTATGACTTTGGATATCAAGTTTTTCATCATAGATTTTTGTTGTCTTCATGGCATTTTTTGTAGTTCAGATCTATCTATCATCATCATTATCATAATAAAATAACTGTTGTAATTCAATAGGTTTTCCATAGAAGAATAGAAGATCTAGAGTAGAAAGCATCATGGCGAGTTCAGACTGCATGATTTTCAAAATAGTCGTGCCACAGATGTTTTCCCACGGCATGACTATCTAGGCTAGCGTTCCGTCGCTGCTTTGTTTACACTGAAAGTTGGATCGGCGACAGGGGCTTTCACATTGCATGACTTTACAATAGGAAGAATCGCTGTCCAAACTACGTCTCACAGCCAAAAACACTAATTCTGTATATCTATTGTTATTAACTGCATAATGAGAAAGAAGCCTTTAATGGGGTAGAAAATGTACATATTTGCTCACCTGGGTTTGAAGAGAATTAGCAATTTCTCCTCAACTTTCTTTTTTGACTTTCTGTATGACATGTCAAACAGACACAGGTGCTCCTGCCAAATTTCCACAAGTTTTTCCTCCATTTCTTGGGTCCAAATAAACCAATAATGAGCTTCTACCCCAACCTCCCGCTGGCCTGCAGGTACACACACAAGTGAATGCTGCTCTCTCGTTGGCTGTTGGTGATCGCCGATGTTATATTCAGTCAAAACTCATTTCACATGGCAGGATTTGAATCGCCGACAGGTCCAGATATTTAGCATTCCAAATATCTCGCAGGCATCGGCGACTCATCTGCGATTCTCTCAGATCGTGTCTTTGATAGTTCAAATTGTGTGATTGCTACTCGTGTGAATGAGTCCCAATCTGCCTGTGATTTCAGCCATTTGTCTGCGATTTCTCAAAACCTATCTGCGAGTCAAAATAGGGGCCAAAGTCATGCAGTCTGAACTCGGCATTACTAAACCTGACCGTTTCATTTGCTTGACATGTTCAGTTTTAAGCACTTTTCCCATCAGATTCGCAATACAAAGCAACTGCAGCTTTAAAAAAGGCTAACATGATTTGATCATTTATCATCATCAATAAAAATATTTATTATTAGTTAGTAAGCATTTTTAATCATTTAACCTTCGACATAATAAACTGAAACCACTCCAATGGGAGATGGGAGAAACAAAGCTGCTCAAAGCTTTAAAACTATTGAACCAATTGCTTTGGAAAACGATTCACTGTTTCGAAGGGATGTTATGGTATGACACAAATCGCCCCAAGGAAAGAACCAAATGATTTTTGAACCCTTTTGAAACATTAATGACGTAACAAAGCATTGTTTACTGAAATCACACGACCTTGCCAATTTTATAGGCACAACAAACCACTGATTTGAAACAAAAGACTTATAAATGTTTCGAAGCTTAATGAAGCTGTACTTCGATATCAGCCTTTAATACTCCAAAGACCAAAAACAGAAGTTATTTAATAAAAATCAAGTTGCAACAAAATGAAAGGACAAACACTATCCACTTTGTTGGTGCCATTGTTTGCAGAAATGTTTATGTCTATATACTATCTGTTTAGATCTATTTGCTGTTGTTGTCTACTTACTACTACTTGTTACAGTCACTTATATTATTTCACTGGTTGCCCAGTGATGCTAAATTGTGATCTACTGCTGTGTAGGTCTTTCGGGAAAATTGCAGTTATGGCTATTTATTGATGGGAGCAAAATGGCAATATAAATTTAATACATAAAATTCAACATTATTTAAAAACTCTACATACAAAACAATCATCAAAAAATTGCATCAGTGCATTTCAGCATTTTTCAATTCAATTGTCTAGAACATATTCGATCAAACCTTCACAAACACATCGCATTTTGCTAGTTTGTCAATATGGAGGCATCATTCTTTGTTTCTAACAGGTTTCCTTATGGACACCCCCCCAACTCTAGGGTTAATGAAAATCTTAAGTTTCATCTCTGATTTGAAGTTAAAAGGATTTAGAAAGACATGAAAATGATTAAATTAAACTATTTTGCCTTTTGATTACTTGGATTATTCATTTACATACTTGGAATCTCCTACATTGCTAAGACAAGGGTATAGATTCACACAATATTTTCTGGAATATAAGTCACATTTTTTTAAATATTTGTGCATTGTTTATTTTTTGCAAGTGATTTGATTTGTACTAATTTCTGTATGATTAATAATGATACAGGTTATTTTTCTTAGATTATTGTGTCCTTGAAGTACCAAAGCACTAATTGTTGAAAAAAAAAAAAAAAAAAAAAAAAAAAAAAAAAAAAAGAGTATACAAATACATGCTTTATAAATAAATGAGATGCTTCAATGTGATAAAAGCGAGAGAATAAAAATCTAGGATAAGATCTGATGTACCTTGTATAAAAACTCCTCCGATCATGACAGGAATGAGTTTGCAGCACTTAAAGATGACTTGGGTAGGATAGTTCAAGTATCCTAAAGAAGTGTTAGATAGGCCCATGGTCCCAACCGTTAAAAATGCTATGATCATGTAAGTTTTGCATGGTATCCTGAAGACAAAAAAAAGAAGAAAAATATGTCTCTTAAAAAAACAGTAAGACAGGATAAAATTTCACAATGCATTACAGTGTTTCCCACAGGTTTGAAATATACTTGCGGTGGTAGCCAGACTGAAACACAAAATTTACCCACATCACATTAATAGTTACAATTTATTTTGAGCAATAATTGTATTTATTATGACACTGTTATACACTTTCTTTTCAATGGGCTAAAGAAAAAAAAGACTAGTTAAAATAAAAAAGAAATCTATTTTTATCACTATATTTTTTACTTTTATACTTTTCAAGAGCCATGTGCACCCACTGACAGGTCAAATCTGCTTCTCTCTCTTTCAGATATGTATATAAAAAAGCCAATGTAATATAATACCATCAAATTAATAAAATAATCAGCAAATGAGACATAAATGACAGAAAATGGAATAAAAGAATACAATATCTCTAAAAATGATTATGATTACACTATTAAAACGAGTAGATTATTTAAATAAGGCAAATGTGCTGATTAACCATTACTAATGGTGTACATGTATTTTGCAGCCAGTTTAGACCAATCATTTCATCAACTTTGAGTATGTAGTAAAGCTTTTCTGAGTCATTTAGATTTAAAAATGAAATACCTAATGTTTGTCTGACGACAGCTGTGAAGTTTAGCGAAAGCAGGTTTAATAAAAAGGTAATACAAAAACGCATATGAGCTTTAGAAAGCAAAAGCAAAAGTTGAATCCTGAATATTTAAGAAGATTTAGAAACCTGGCTGAACGTATTTTTGAAGTCCCAAAAAGGCGCATCTCTGTGGGTTTGCAGAGCACATGAGACTTTCTGTGGGGGTCTCGCGCACACAGAATGAAACGGTTAAATTGAGAAACAATTTTCCACTACTTAATCAATCGTGGATGTTTGATTATATTGGGCAGAAACAAACAAAAAAAAGTGTAAAATTGTTAATAAAAAAAGTGTCATTAATAGGGATGTAACGGTATCAGAATTTCATGGTACGGTAATACCTCGATATGAATGTCACAATACGGTATTTATTGAATAATTTACAGGAAAAACAAAACTACAAAAAATACTCCAAAAAAGTGCCAAAAGTGTCAATGACATACAAATTAGCCATCTATCTGTAAGCTTTGAAAAAGGAACTTCAATTTTAATAACAAAAAAATTATTAAACCATGTAAAAAAATTAAAGTTTCAATTTAGTAGTGTTGAAAACTCATCACATTCAACATTTAATTACTCACTCACTCACCAGAGATGGGTTTTAAGGAAATTTATCATATAACTATAATCTGGTAAAAGCTGGTATCTCTGGGTATTTACAATGTCCCCTGCAACAGAAAAAAACCCTCTCATTTGGGACTGAGGATTCTGGGACAGAGATATTACTTGGCCCAGGTTGACAGCAGTGGGTAACGTTGTGCATTGTCTTTCCCCACTTGAGAGGACAAGCCATGAGTGAGATAGAGGTCTTTTTGCGGGACAAGTCAATGTCTGCATCAATCTGAACAGTGTGCTGTGTTTCTGCAGTCCCCATGACTGTTATTAGTCGTATTCCCCAACTTGCAGGCACGTGAACACATAGGGCTCAACCTGTGCAGTGCACAAGCCCTTTTTAGTTTTGCCCTTCCAAAATGATCAAAAGTGTCCCCGCGACGCGACACACCCTCCGTCCCGCCCTTCAGTAGGTGCGCGACAACACCGCTCTTGAGTATGCGCGCTCAACCCCCCTCCCCGCTTTACAGTACGCGCGCGACAACACAGCTGATCAGAACAACACCCGCTTTAGGTTCGATCATTTCCAGCTCTTTTTCATCCCCGCTACAAGGAGCACACTCCATTTCCGCATTACTGGATCTGTAGCGACAACAGACCGCAAAGGATGATGGCCACGCATGGGCTGATGGGAATTGAAGTTTCCGCTACCTCCCGTTGGCTTCATTCGCCTGAGAAAATTTTCTCAGAAGACCTATAGTTTTAGAGTCATGCGACTACGGTAATATCGGAAAAAAATTCTATTGCGGTATGACAGTATTTACAATACCGTTACATCCCTAGTCATTAAATATACTTGGGCAGTTGTTAATATACCTAGGGGCCCGCCTAAGTAAAGCTAAGTTTCCATAATATAAAAAAATTATGCAAAATAATTTACAGCAGCATTACACTTAACATTACAACTAAGCGAATTCTTATTAGGATGTTTGTGGCTTTCATAGTATACGAAACATTTATAGTACAAAGTATAAAAGAGTACAACGTAGTATGATAAACTTAGTGTGTATGCTGCTGTTATGTTTTAGGGACTGAATTTGACAACAAACATTTCAATGATAGATCAAATTAATTGCTAACAAGTATGCATTTTACCATGTACACAAAAATTACCTCCTCCTTTTATCTTGAGTGAGCTGCAACTCCACCAAGCCAAACAAGGAGTAAAATCCAAACTGCACCAAAGTCAGATACCAGCCAAATGGCTTAAAGCCCTCCACTGAGAATATTAGCTCCTGAAAGCAAAAACTCACAACAGTCAGGTAATGCAAAAAACAAAAAAAAACAAAAAAAAAACACGGAAAACATAGGTTTAACATCACTTTAGACTTCACATTCGAGTCGTTCAAGTTACCTGCAGGTAGCCGTAGATGAGGTAAAAGAGGAAGACACCAGCCACACAGATGAAGAACTGTGTTGGTGTGTTGAAGCTGTTCAAGTTAATGCCGAGTACTCTGAGCTCCTCCACTGATTTGATATGAGGAGACATCACCTCTGTGGATGAAGGCACAGTTATGGAGATGTGCTTCCTCGAGCTGTAATTCACAAGGCCAAATTTGCCACTCATGTCTGCAGGCTCCTGAAAACAAAAGCAAAATTCATCCAACAAGATCAATATTATATACACATATCTGTACTCCACCTTAAAATGGAGGAAGCTTCAAAATAGAAACAGGGTTCATACACATTTTTACTACTAAAACAGTAGACTTTTCCAGAACTTTCAAGTACATTTTCATGATGTAATGTTTCATGTAATGTCTACATATACATGGTAAATAATAAGAAAAACAATGACGTTCAAATTTATTACAGAATATCATGAAAAACGCAACTATTTTGTTTAAACTTATTTTTATATCTATGTAAAATTGATTTTAATAATGCTTACACAATACTAACAATGTGAGAGCAAGTTTTTGGCCAAGGACAGAAAATAAATAAAAACAACTACCTATGTTCCAGTTAGGGCAGCACAATATATCGTTTCATCATCGATATCGCAATGTGTTCATCCGCAATCGTCACATCGCAGGATACGCAATGTTGGGATTATAGTTTAATATAGAGTTTAATCATAATGGAGTAAAAGTTTATCATCTGCTTGCATTTTTAAAGAGATCACCAAAAAATTACTCACCATTTTCAATACACCCTTCACTTGTTACAAACATTTATGCGTTTTTTTTTTTTTTTTTTTTATGAACAAAAAAATAATAATATAATTGAATCACTGCCATAGTATTGAAACAAGTGAAGTGTGAGTAAATATAGAGTGCATTTTAACCTTTGAGTAAACTGTCCCTTTAAGGTCTGTGACTGTGTGAACATTTCAATATTTTAAATTTTAAAACATCCGGCCAAATACATTTTTTTTGTAACTTTAATCAATATTAAATAATATACAATGAACACTATGCAGTGCTGATTATTCAATATCTGTACCTGAATAGTGAATAGTGTATTAATATGCAAATGACAAATAGTCACAGGCAAATTGAACTTTTGTGACAAGGCAGCAGAGATCGGGCCAGTACCAATCCTGTCTAGTGTCCCGAGCGCTCGTACGCTGGCCCTGGGACATCAGTCAGTCCTTATTGTTGAGCCCTGATATGAACCCTGTAGGAAGTATTCAAATGAACTTAACAAATGAACAGTTTGCAGCGCATTTCTTCTTTACCTCAATGCATGGTTTCTAAAATAAAATATATTTAAATATATAGTTATTTCAATTTATCAACAACAGTGATGTTATATGTTCCGTTACCACAATTCAGTGTAGTAACAACATTGTATTAACAAACTCGTTAGTTATTAGTCGGCCCACATATAATCTGCACGCAAAGAATTCCGCAGATTTTTAGCCCATCATTGATTCTGTTTATTTACATGAGTAAATGTGTGTAAATTTATATTTACTCAGTTTTTAAATTAATTTCAGTAATATTATTGACTAAAAAGAAAATGTTCAATGATTTATTTACAACACAGATTATAAAGTAATATTTTCTGTCTTTTAGCAGAGATATCATACAAGAGTCTTGCTGTTTACCAAATAAATTGGATCTAATTGGATCTGCATTGTAAGCATTAAATACAAGTTTAAAAGCTGTTATTTTTTATGTCATATATTAAGTTTTTAGTTATGACTCTCCAAAAATCATTCAGAATAAATCCACAGATTTTTAACAAAATTCTCTGCAGAAATAGCAAAAAAAAAAAAATGTTTGCGGATTCTGTCTGGCCCTAGTTATTAGCTATGCTAATGCTCAAATATATACTTAACATGCTTATTCAGTGTCATACAGTGAGAAAAACATTTTACTATGTTTTTGTGGTAAATATTTTTTGTCACAAAACACACAATTCATAAATACAAACCCCCAAAAATGTACATTATAAAGTGCTGGTAATGTAACAATAAATATACCACAACATTGAATATAGATCATGGCACTGACTTAAATGAACAGTAATCGTTATTTACAGTACAACAAGACATTATGTATACATATACTTAAAGGATGTATGTACTGATATTGTTATTTCATGGTAGATGTAAATAGACTGAGGTAAAGTTGGTTTTATATTCGCACATTCAGACTTTCTCCTTAATGATATAATTTCAGAAAATGATTCTTTATGAATACTAAATAGTGAAATCATATTAGCAGCCAATAACTATCAGAATACAATAATGTGCTAATAAATAGTGATAATGATGCTGTGAAGTCATACTTGCATGTTATTTCAGACCGAATATTTAAAGTACCATGGTAAACAATATAGGGAGCATGTCACTGAAAGAATGTACGTTTATAAAACCATCTTTACCTCAATTGTAAATAGTTGTGTATTCAAAAAATAGGTAATTATGCATTCCCTTTCTGGATTATAGGGAGAAACGAAAAGGGGAAGATGACAGAATCTTACCTGAATGACCCAGAGTAGATCAGAATGATTGATCGATCTAATCAGAATCCCATTGATGAGATGAGAGTGGACAGTATCTGACAACTGGATCTGTGCATCACAATGTTCTCACATCTCACCCAGTTTATACTCCGATAAGCGCGTTTCAGCACTGACATGCATGGCAGGCTATTTCTGCGATGTTCTCGGACAGAATGAGTGTGAAAATAACGATCTAACACAAAAGCAGTCTCTTTTACGGGATTTAAAAGTTATAAAGGGTGTTAGCGGCTAGGCTAACACCTGCTGCACTCACTGCTGCTACTCCACTTCCGGGTTTAAAGTCAGTTCTATGCGCTCGTCTCAACACGGAGCAGACATTTTTTCATTCGTCCAGTCGAGCGGAGCACAATAAAACCTTTCGTCCATGCAGACATATGTCAAAGTGCACACTATACGACTATTGTAGGGGATTTTTTTGGCGTTGTTATGTCTCCCGGCAGCAGCCAAAGGCTTCCGGTAAACTCTGACCTCATGGTACACGTCATTAAACACACACGTGTCAACTCTGAAGGGTCTGAACCAGCTCTACATTTAACTTGACATCGGAGAATAATAAAGCCTTATGAATTAATTATAATTTAAAAGAGCATTGCATTAAAACTGTAAGCTATTTTGAATTGCTTCATTAATCTTAATGTATGTAATTTATTGTTAAGCCTGTGTATCGATTAAAAAAGAGGCTTTTTGTTTGTCAAAGCACAATTAATGTTTTTTTTTTTTTTTTTCTGGGTCGTTTTACGTTCTGGGGTAACACGTTTTGGTGTTGTCTGGGTCATGCTTATGTACAGGTCAAAATTATTACAAATGCTTTCATGCATAGATAGCCCATGTTTCCTACTTTATGTGCACCTAACAAGCTGTTAGTGTAGGCTATACAGTAATAGTCAATCTTAGGATGTCCCTTTACAATTGTAAATAGTTTAAAAAGGTTGCTTGAGAGCACTTCTTTGAGCTCCATCTTCTCCAGGGGTTGGCAAACTTTTCCAATAGTATCTGGAGGCAGCCTTGATGCAAGCTGAGACTGCATCACTCAGCAATGCAAGGTCAGACACAATGCACTCAATGAAGTGAGTGACGACACTGACGGGTAGGGTTAGGGGTGGGGTTAGGTGAGCGCATTAAAAAGCATTGCTTTTCAGCCTGCGATTCCCAAATTTCTCGAAGGTGGTTATAAGTATAGGGGAATAACCAAATTTGACGTTACACGGTTTAACCGCACATACTGGCTGCAAAAAAAGATCGGTTGCAATAGCAAACATGTCTTGTGCGGTAGAATGCCAAAATCGAATGTCCAATAATAGAAAACCTAAATTTTAACGTACACCACACTGCATTTAATGCCAACCGCAGACGTCTTTGGCTACCAGCTATCATAAGAGCTAAATGGAGTGAGGACCTAATTAAAAATGCCCGACTCTGCAGTTCTCATTTAATATCAGGTAAGTTCATGCAATGCTGGATCATACACTTTACTTGTTTTTTATTGCAGCAATGATTTCAGCAAAAACAGTTAAATATAGTTCATTAAAATGCGGACACTGACTGCTTAGAATAAACTGTAAAGATCTAAGTTCACATACCCTGCCCTACAGGTGCAGTTCGCTGTCAGAATGCAGTCGTTTTGCTTGTTGATGATTACCCAGGCCTTGTACAGTTCCGTCTCCTTTCCGTGTCTTTGGCTAGACAGAACCTCGGTTTTTAGCACATAGTTTTGAATCTGGTAATCATGGAACATTATTTCTTGCACATGACCATGCAGAACAAAATTGTTGGCATCCAAAGACTTTAAATTTCTCTCGTTAAAACACTTGGAGTTTCAATGAGATAGTTGTATATTTGTGGCTGGACGCTTGGCCATTTCGTCTTATCCAATATCCATTGGGAAGGTGCTATCGCAAATGGACCTGTCAGATGAACGCCACTCACTTTAACGTTAATTTTGCCAAATAACTGTGCTTATCACTGGGTGACAAGCTGTTATAATAAGCTGAAAGCATTATGTAAATAATATGTAATCAATATAAACTAATCTCTAAGACAGCAACAAACTCTGTACTGCATCGGATTTCATTCCCTCGCTGTAAATGCTAGCGCTCTCGTTTTTTTTCTGCAACCTCGCTGCATGCGCATACTAAATGTTTCATCGGTAATTCGTCTATACAAATGTTGCACACACAACAATAGGCCTATATAAACACGAGCATACTGACAACACAAAAATATGCAACAGCTGAACAACCATATAATTTTTATAGTTATTTATTTATTTGTTTAATTAACCTTTATGAGACAGGTGGGCACAATGTTTTCAGCACAAGTCTATTCTTGGTTTAATTTTGGAGACCGCCACTCAGAGATCATTTTTAATGTTCAGTTGTGGTCTGTATTCATTTTTAATGTATTTGATTGCCATAAAGGTGTCAGAAAGTTTAACCTGGTGCTTTAAAATCAATCTGCTACATCTGACACTATTGCTGTGTTGTAAATAACATAATAGTTGAATAAAATTTATTTGACTTTTGAAAATCACCAAGTGACCCTCTGTCATTGTCCCAGGGGGTCCCAACCCCCATTTTAGAAACCACTGATCTACTCAACAGTCAAAGAAGAATCATGATAGTGTAAACTTAGAGGAAGACCATGGGATTAGGGTATGATTGTGACAAGAAGACATAGGCCTACATCAAAATTGCCTCACTAATGTGGGTTTTTTTTCAGTTGAATATTTAATTCCTTCATAACTTTTGGTTAATATTACTTACAACACCTGCACTAAAAGTAGCCTATGAGGTAAAAGCTGTCACAAATTACCAGTAAAGTGTGGGCTGGATAGACAAACAGATGAATTAATAAATGAATGAACATTTGCTAGCTGCTAAAGCTAACATTTAACAACAAACAGCATGTCACAAGGGATTCTTTGTCAAGATTAAACTTTATGTCCCTTAAAATCTCTCTACACACTCATAAGTAGGCTTTGCAGCCTTCCTTTTCATCACATGAATTATGTATTACTTTAACGCATAGGCCTATAATATAAGCATGCAAATGAAGATGCAAGACAAGAAAATTCCCACAAACAGAAAGCCATCATTAGATAATGTCTCCTGCTTTTCTGAAGGATTATGTTTGAGGGCACTAACAGACTAACAGATTACTTGTGTAGATAAAGAAACAAATAACAATTTCATACCTGTTTTATTTCTTGTGTTGGTTTCATTTTGAATATATATTGAGCTACACAACATGTCTTCTGCTAAAGTTTCCTGCAGGTAGGCTGAATTGTGTAACCTGTTTGTCCAGAATGACAAGAGATCAGCACGTTTGGCACATTTACATCCTAGTTTTGCATGTATGTGAACGAATGGCATGCAAAAATAAAACAAAGCCATTTTGATCAGACCTTTAGATATCAACAAAAAGCTCAAGCAGCACACTATTGACCTTATTCTAAAATGCGGAAGTGCGCCTGTTTTCGCGATTGTCTTAGAACTTCCGATTCAGTCGCCTATGGGAGAAATGACAAGGAATAATGGCACAAAATGGCCAAACTACTTGCTCAACAAACAAATGTTTGCATGACTACACAGACCAAGTAGCATAATATAATAAGAAAATATTAAATTGCAACATCAAGCAGCGTAACGAGCAGTTGTTAACGTTAAAAAATGAATGGAAGTGAATGTGACCGGAAGTCGCGAGACAAAAAGATTCAAATGGCAGCGCCCACTCGTCAGCTGAGAATAAGGTGAATACACTCACTCCTATACACAACACATGTGGCCGAGCTGTAGCCACGGAAGGTCCATCTCTGGCAAGGGGTTATGATCCTATCTACCCCCTCCCCCTACTCGCCCAGCCTCCGTTCCACCCATTCATTTCCTCTGCTTCCCCTATAGATGACAGAGGCCTTTCCATCCACAGCGAGAGGTTAATTCACTCACGGACGGCATTATTTCTTTCCAGCCCCTTCCACAATATAAAAATTCAGAGTGGACAGGCCCATCTCTCATCCGTCTGAGATTTGATTGGAATGCTATTGCCTCCTGTCCCGAGGAGCCCCTGCACTGGCTTGGCTGCACTTTATGACACTAAATAGCCAGGCTACAATTTTTCCATCTATTCAAAAAATTCTCTTAATAACTCATTCTTCCGGACGAGAGCCCTAACTCTCCACTCACCGCCGAGGACGGGCTCGTCCCATTTACGTCCACAGGTCACCGCAATGGAGACCTGGAAATGTCCAGAATTCAACGGGTTAATTAATCTCCGAATTTACTGCCCTCTCTCTGCCACCCACTCGCCGAATCATAGTCCCATGGAGAGGCCTGTGCAATATTTACTGCCCGCTAATAGTATTCAGCAATGCACAGAACCGTCCACATGCACGCGGCTCTTTTGCCACCCATCTAACTTTACAAGTGATCTCATTTATCAACAATGACGGATTTGTGTAATGACTTTTACTTTTTGCAGCCTTTCACACCAGATCCTTCTAAATAATAAAATGGCTATTTATTGATTATTCAGAAAGGTACATATTCCCATAATGGTCTCAGACCAGATCAAATAACCAGTAATAAATAAAACATTGCATGCGGAAGGAAATGCAGTGGCTTTTCAAAGAGCCAAATCTGGATCCAATGAGGCCTGTAGCTCAGCAAATCAGTAGGATCTTCTGGGAAAGCTGAACGCTTGAGTGATTCTGTGCATGGATCTGATTAGAATTCAGATGACCTAACGACTGTTGGGATCATGGATGAGTCTGCAACAAATGTGAGGAGTAGGACATGTATTATTAAGGATAACACCAGTGTTTCAGTGGAAGACTTTACCGCCCAACCCCCCAAAAAAGAGAAACAAAGTAAGACGAATATTTTTTTTTCTTTCTGTATAATAATGGTTATTTCATGGTTCCATATATCCAAGTATTTGTTAGAAATGTATTTTGTTTTGTTGTTGTTTTTTCTCTGTAGAGATTAAATGCAGTTGATTTTTGTGTAATTTTAAATGCAAGTGAGTCGGGCTGCAAGATTCATTCATTCATTCATTTTCTTGTCGGCTTAGTCCCTTTATTAATCTGGGGTCGCCACAGCGGAATGAACCGCCAACTTATCCAGCAAGTTTTTACGCAGCGGATGCCCTGCCAGCCGTAACCCATCTCTGGAAAACATCCACACACACATTCACACACACACTCATATCCTACGGACAATTTAACCTACCCAATTCATCTGTACCGCATGTCTTTGGACTGTGGGGAAACCGGAGTACCCGGAGGAAACCCACGTGAATGCAGGGAGAACATGCAAACTCCACACAGAAACACCAACTGAGCCAAGAATCAAACCAGCAACCCAGCGACCTTCTTGCTGTGAGGCGAACGTGCTACCTACTGTGCCACTGCGTCGCCACGGGCTGCAAGATTATTTGAAATAAAACTAGTTTACAAGGGTCTAATAGGTCACTGGGAA